CGGGAGAAGGTGTTAGGCATTCCCGAGTTCCGTGGTTCTAGCACGGTCGCTCAACTGTTATATTCGGCTTGATTATCTGATTTTATACAAATATGAACTTATGTTCAAATTTTATCTTTTTACCGCTTTCATAATTATTATTATTATTTTTTACAAGTAATTGCAATGTTGTGAAAATGTACCTCAAACCGCGTCACAATCAATGTGCCCGCGATCGTCGACACACTTTGACTCCGTTGAGATTTGGATTTGGGTCACATAAATGTGCACCCGAGTTTAAGAAAATTAAATTATTAAAGGCGCACCTAAAGCGACTAGCGTATCATTTTCTTTGGGTAGGGCCGTGGAATTTTGCTAAACGGTCCGTCCCGGAATCTAAGCAATTTTAAAGCAAATAGTTACTGAGGGCCCCACAATTTTGTATTTTTATTCGGCGAGGCTCGTCTCATTCTTATTTTTTTTAAAGAAATTTGCAACGTCATGGACACGCATCTCGAACCACGTCACAATCAATGTACCCGTGATTAGAGACACATTTCGACTCCGTTGAGATTTGGATTTGGGTCACATAAATGTGCACCCGAGTTTAAGAAGGTAAGATTTATTAAAATCCGCGCCTAAAGCTATTAGCGTGTTATTAATTTTTTTTTTTGGGTAAGGCCGTGGAGTTCGCTAAGCGGCTTGTCCCGAGTTTTCAGTAATTAACACATACATTTTATTTGTGAGAGCCCCGCAATCTATTCGTTTTATTTGGCGAGGCTCATTTTTATTTAAAAGGCAAACGTAAGGCAACTACAATTTTCTACTTTGCGATGTCATGGAAAATTCAACTGATGGCACACCTCGATTTCTAAAGGACTAAAATTAATTAAGTGGAGGCCATGGGTTATAGATTGAACTTATTTGATGAAAAGAGTATTTTTTGTGGAATTAAAATTACTACTATGATTTTAAAATTACTACTGCACGTATAAGCAACTATTAAGACAAACTAAAATAATTAACATCTTTCAGAATGTGTACAAACACCTATTGTGACAAATATTTGGATAACAACAATCTAAACATGAAGAAACAAAATGCCCAATAACTACTTAAAGTAACGAAACAAAGGAAAAGACATTCACGGCCAAATTTCAATACAATACGGAGTTAATTAGAAAGAAATAGCAATTCACAAACATCATGTATACATGTCTCGCTCAATTGCATACTATTCGCATGAACTAGGATTGTATTTCAACAATCACATATGCATATTACCAAAAGCAAATATGAAGGACATGGGCAGAGGTGACCTACTTGTGATTAATGTCTGATGCGTTGGAACTGCAACGAAACCTCGGACAACAACCTCGACGTACCGGACCTCGACGAACAACGACGACCTCAACGGAAATAGAAAGCTCGAACCAAGACTGTCAGCGACCCGAAATGTTGGCTGCTGCTGGTTTCTTCCGATGCAGCAGACTGATATGAGAAGATGAAGCAGTAGGGGTCGTTTGGATGTGAGGAAGAAGCAGACTACTGGTTCTTCGGACTGAAGGAGAAGAACTGGGGCGACGAAGCAGGTGGTCGACGAAGCAGGTGGTCGACGAAGGAGAAGAACGCAGCAACAGCTGCTCGGCGGGCTGCTAATTCGGGGTTTGAGCTACCATTTTCGTGTAGCTAGAGCAGGTTTTTCGACCGGTTGCGATGGAGCTTGGAGGAGAAGGAGTGGTGGTTTGCTGGCAGTTTGGGCAGTAGGGTCGACGAGAGGAGCTGGGCAGCAGCCGCAGCAATGGT